TAGAGCTTGCTCGGAGAGCAGCTGCCAGACGGAAGACCATTTTCCAAACGGAGTTCCTCCAACATTGGGAAAGGGGCTACAACGGGCCAATTCAATAGAACCGTCCTTTTTAGGACCCGTTCAATATACAAAGACGCGGCCGGTAATTTCTTACCGCGCCCGTCAATTTTCTTTTAACTTCTTGGTCTTACACACATACCGAGAAAGCGCCTCTGGCGCAATCAATCAATTCAAACAGAATACTACACGTGTATATACTCATTTCTCTGACAAGGAAAATAAATTATATTTTCTAACGAAATTGGTCTTCATAATCTTTAACCAAGTCGAACACATCCTTTGGGCGTTACGCCCATAATATATATTAACCTTTACTTGTCAATTGCTCCAGTTGCTTTGAAACAGCGAAAACAGCGTTGCCGCTGTGTTCATAACCACAGTCATGATGTAAAAATATGTAGAGTCGGAACACGCCGACTCGATTAGAGCACTAAAGATGTAGGTATTCTCACGTCTACGCCATTTTCACTCCATTCCCCCACTCCTAGCCCTCTCGCCTAATCACCATAAACTTCTTAGCTCAGCGAGGGCGAGCTAAGAAGCTAAAAGGACGAGAGAGCAAGGAGTGGAGGAAAATGGAGCGAAAATGGCGCCGACGTGAGAATACTCACGTTTATAGTGCCTTAACTCGATATGCCTTGACAAGTTGTGCAAGTTCGTGTGTTAAGACATTCCTGTGACCGAGTGTTTCATAAAAGGAAATCAATACAATCGGTACGAAGTATAGTCTACTGCAGGCCTCGGAATTATTTCATTTTTTCAGCCGATTCTCGTGGTATACGCCTCCTTTCCTCTCTTCACCGCGCGCGCGGCAGCCGCTTGGGCCAGCGCCGCCGAGCGTTAGGAGCGGCGCTATCTGATAAATGTTGGGTTCTTCTCCATTGAGTTCTATAACATACTGGAGCGAGCCTTTCAGGAGTGGGGATGTCTCCATTGGTCGAAAAAGACAGATAGATTACGTGAGGCTAGTCTTCCTTGTCAGCGATTCGCTGATTGGTTAACGTTATTATAATATCATAGCTAAAAACATCACCTCTATCATGTTTTATATGGATTGAAAAATGTTAAATACATAAGTGAAAAAATTGTAACAAGTAAATAATAAAAAAAATTAAATTCTTAATAATTATTATTTGGAATTAGAAAATATTTGTGGTAATTTTATCTTTTATAATTCTTAAAATTATTAATTTTGTTAATTATTTTTAATATTTTATATTTCTTTATATTTTATTAAAAATTTATTTCTAAAAAAATTTAGTAATAATTATGATATTACATACATATATATGATATGACATACTGTATATTTATATAATTATAAAAACCGAATTATATATTAATTTTACTAATATTATTATAATAATAAAAAAAGGAAAGTTTATAAAAATATAGTTAATAATTATTTGTTAATATATATCATATACATTGTTTTATTAGAATTTTTTATATTTCTTAAGCAGAATTTATATTATAGCTATTAATTGTAGCACGTGTGTGATTAAACACTTAAAATGATGGTAAACAAATGATGTACATTGTCCATGCTGGACGTTGATTTTGATGAACTGCAAATGAAAACAAACTTATTACATTAATATTTTAATAATACATATAATACATTGTGACGTGACGCTTTTCGAGTGCCGTCACAAGGGCGATAGCCCGGCCGAGGGAGCAAAGAGTCCTCGTGTTGTTCCTCGCGTGGAGAGAGCAGCCCGCGAGACTCCACAATCTTTGCGCGTTGTTTGTATTGTCATTCCCGTTTATTGTCATTAATATCGTTTTTAAATTGTAAGGCGAGACCCCGTGCGGGCGGCGTTGCGTGTTTTGTGCCTCAGGGCGAAGATGCAGCATCGCCAGGAAGACCGGACGCCGGGAGATCATCGACGGGTGTCACGCGTCAGTGACCCCACGGCATAAGGTCAGGTACCGCGATCCCGTCGCCTCCGCCATCCAAGCCCTATCTAACTCCGCTTTGGTTTCAGCCACAGAGTCTAAGAAACGCAGAAACACGCAGCAGCGGACCTCGCCCGGCTGCAGACGGCTCCGGGGACCCCGAAG